GAAAGTTAAAAACAAAATTAGAAAGATAAATAATGACTAGAAATCATCATCTACAATACTCTGTCATTGTATATCCATTTATGGCCTCTCTCTCTCTCTCTTTCTTTATTTTTTGTGGTACCAGGGATCAAACCCAGAGGTGCTTTACCACTGAGCTACATCCCCAGCCCTTTAAATTTTTAAAGAATTTTGAGACAGGGTCTTGCTAAGTAGCTTAGGACCTCACTAAGTGGTCCAGGCTGGCCTTGAACTTGATCCTCCTGCCTCAGCCTCCAGAGTCACATTCATTCCTGTGTCCAGATTTATTTGGGGTCTCTTGCTATCTGAAATATATTTATGACAATAAAGAAGTCCAAGGGGAGTGAATACTAAGAAAGGTCACTGTCTGGTGGCCTGGTTACGGATGTAAGAAGTGGAGAGAGGACACAGTGACTGTCTTATGAGAAGGAGGGCACTGGGGATGGGCAGAGAGGAGGCCTGGGAGAGGGGATGGGGGAAGGGCAGAGGGAGACCCAAAGCCTCTTTCCCTGGCTGAAAAGGAACTCAGGAAACCAAGAATGTTTGGAGGAAGCCATTGTGAAGATCTGCTGTGTGTGTTGATGCGTCGTCATAACTCCCCGCAAAGCTCTTAGTGTAAATGAGTGAGTATAACGTTTCTCGCCGACGCCTGTGGCTTTGAATCTATTTTGGGTCCCCCGGCACTTTTTCCTGCAAGGAGGGCATGATGGAAAATAGCAGCGATGAGGACCCCCAGGGGTGCTCTACCACCAGCCACATCCCCATCCTTTTTCTGATTTCTATTTTGAGACAGTCTCACTGAATTGCTGAGAGTGACCTCGAACTTGCAATCTTCCTGCCTCAGCTGCCGGAGTTGGTGGGATTACAGGCATGGGCTGTCATTTGTTTTTTTTTTTTTTTTTTTTGACTATTTATTTTACTTTTATCTTCCCCTCCCTTTGAGATTTATCTTACTTTATTTTGATAGCTTCTTGGGTATAATTGACATACAATAAAGCACTTGTGTTTAAAGTAGACGATTGAGTTAATGAACTTAGCCGTTGCTCCTCAAAGTATCTTCGTGCCCCTTTGTAAGACATCCCTCCCTCCCTCTCCACCCACCCCTCACATCTCAAAGCAACTGCTGATCTGCTTTCTGTCATTAGATCTTGCTTTGAATTTTCTATAAATGGAAAATTACAGTGTGTGTGTGTGTGTATGTGTGTGGTGACCGATTATTAAAATACAAATTAAAATTAAAATGGAACACTACCACACCTATTAGAACTATTAAAAGGAAAATGACTGAGGAAATCAAATGCTGGTAAGGACGAGGAACAACTGGAACTTTCTGCCGGTGGGCGCGTTCTATGGCACAACCATTTTGGAAAACAGTATAATATTTTCTTAGAAAGTTAAACATTTACTTACCCCGTGATCCGGTCATTCAACTCTAAGTATTTACCTCAGGGAAATGAAAGCATTGGTCCATGTAAAGTCCTGTGCATGAATGTTGGTTCAAAATTTATTTGTAACAGCAAAAACTGTAAACAACCCATTGTGTACAGCCAGAGGTATGAAAAATTGTGTTCTATATGTGTAATATAAATTGTAATGCATTCTGCTGTCGTATATAACAAATTAGAAAAAAAACTGTAAACAACTCAAATGTCCATCAACACATCAATGGATAAATGAATTGCAGAATATCCATGCAAGGGGACAGTACTCATAAATCAAAAGGAAAAAATTAGTGATATGTGCCACAAGATGGATGACTTTCAAAATGTTAAGTTTTGACATAAAGAAGTTTAATTGGGGGTCTGGGGTTGTATCAGTGGTAGAGTGCTTGCCCAGTGCGTGTGAGGCACTGGGTTTGATCCTCAGCACCAGATAAAAATAAATAAATAAAAACAAGGTATTGTGCCCATCTGCAACTTAAAGAAAAAGAAGTTTAATTTTACAATCGAATGAATTTATAATTGATTATGAATTAATCAAATTATGAATCAAAATATGAATATTGCCTTTATTGCCATATTTATTTATTTATTCTAATTTCTTTTATATGACAGCAGAATGCATTACAATTCATATTATACATATAGAGCACAATGTTTCACATCTCTGGTTGTACATAAAGTAGAGTCACACCATTTGTGTCTTCATACATGTACTTAGGGTAATGATGTCCATCTCATTCCACCGTCTTTCCTACCCCCATGACCCCTCCCTTCCCCTCCCACCCCTCTGCCCTGTCTAGAGTTCATCTATTCCTCCCATGCTCCCCCTCCCAACCCCACTATGAATCAGCCTCCTTATATCAGAGAAAACATTCAGCATTTGGTTTTTTGGGATTGGCTAACTTCACTTTGCATGATATTCTCCAGCTCCATCCATTTACCTGCAAACACCATGATTTTATTCTCTTTTATTACTGAGTAATATTCTATTGTGTATATATGCCACATTTTCTTCATCCATTCATCTACCGAGAGGCATCTAGGTTGGTTCCACAGTTTAGCTACTGTGCATTGTGCTGCTATAAACATTGATATGGCTGTGTCCCTGTAGTATGCTGTTTTTAAGTCCTTTGGGTATAGAATAAGGAGTGGGATAGCTGAATCAAATGGTGGTTCCATACCCAGCTTTTCAAGGAATCTCCATACTGCTTTCCGTATTGACTGCACCAATTTTCAGTCCCACCAGCAATGTATGAGTGTGCCTTTTCTTCCACATCCTCGCCAACACTTATTGTTGTTTTGTTCTTAATAGCTGCCATTCTGACTGGAGTGAGATGAAATCTTAGAGTGCATTTCTCTAATTGCTAGAGCTGCTAGAGATGTTGAACTTCATATATTTGTTGATTGATTGTATATCATCTTCTGAGAGGTGTCTGTTCAGTTCCTTAGCCCATTTATTGCCATATTGTATGTCTTTATTGCCATATTTACTAAGAATGTTCTTGCTCCCAATTTAACTCTAATCGGGAATTAATTTTGGTTGATGATATGAGGTATGGAAGCAGTGTTAAATTTTTTTTGGTATGATTAGTTAGATTCCATAACTGCCTTAAATTATTTAGGCCTGACATCATTTGTTCTTGGGTAGAACACAAAATATTATACAAAATTAACAAGCATTGATTTGTAAGAAGAAATTTATGTATGACCATCTTTCCAATCAAATAAAAAAGTGATAAATTGGGGGGCTGGGTACATAGCTAAGTTGGTAGAGTGCTTGCCGTGCATGCACAAGGCCCTGGATTTAATCCACAGCACCATACACACACACAAAAAAATCATATTTTTTATGAGTTTATTGCATCATACGAATTGACAATTTTGACGTAATATCAACCACAGTACAAGCTCAATTTTTTTTTTTTTTGGTACCAGGGATTGACCCCAAGGGCACTTAACCACTGAGCCACATCCCCAGTCTTTTTTACTTTTTATTTTGAGACGGGGTCTTGCTAAGTTGCTTAGAGCCTCTCTAAGTTGCTGGGGCTGGCTTTGAACCTGTGATCTGCCTGCCTCAACCTCCTGAGCCCTGGGATTACAGGTGTGCACCTCTGCCTGGCACAAGTTTAATTTTGGATAATTTCCAGTCTGCACTGTTATTCTATAAGCATTTCCATTTGTGTACAATTATACATTATTAGTTTGTAAATTTTATTATTTTCCCCATTTTCTCTGAGAGGTATCTATTTTAAATAACATGAAATTGAACATCTTTGTGCCCATAACCTTTTGTTTCTTTCAAATAATTTATGATGGAGAGAGTCCAGGAGTAATGTCCAATGCCCACTGGATTCAACAAATAGAAGTTAGTTCTTTGCACTCATGACACAGATTTCCAGTCGGATCTGCCAGTTTTCCCCTGGGGGTGGACGACGGTCACCAGCATCACAAAGCCTGGCTCTCAGGGTGCCTTTCCAGTGCTGGGTATCTGTTGTCTTATTCCCCAGAGGGCTAATGGCAGTCAGTGTCCCTGACCTGCCCTACGTTCACGTCCTGCCGCTGTGTCTCCATCCCTGTACCCTGCCACCGCCACGGGGTGTGCTGTTCACAGCTCCCTTCAAGAGAACCTGCTGAGGGGGTAGGTGGCAGGCTCTCGGGCCACACTCCCTGGTCTATGGCAGCATTACCCGTGGGCTCTTCCTGGCTGAAGGCTGAACCCAGTGGGAGAGTAGAGCCTGCCCTTCCCAGGCTGGGCCCAAGTCCTGCGAGGGGCAAGCCTTGCTTCGGGTCTTTCTATCAGCCTGGCAGAGACCTTTGTTGGGACTGAGGCTCAGCTACAGCCCAGCCCTTTTTATTTTGCAGCACGGTCTTGCTCAGGTGCCCAGCCTGCCTTGGGAACTCCAGTCCTACTGTGCAACCTCTGGAGTCGCTGGGATTACAGGCATGTGCGCTGCTGAACCAGGTTGGAGGTCTCCTTACAACTGCAGTGTCGGCCTCCTCCTGTCCAACCCTCCTTCTGTCCCTCCCTCTCTCTTTTTAATAGCTATCAGGCCAGCACAGAGGTCAGAAGTCTCTCTGGGCTTCCTCCTTCTCCCTCTGGCCTTTGTCCATCACGGGCATTCCCCACTCCACAGCCCCCTTCCCCAATTACATTTTTTTTTTTTTTTGCAAATCAACTTCATTTTTGCAAGTCTGATTCTGCTTTGACATTGGCTCTTTGGAGAATCCAAACGGACAGATACTCTGTGGCCGAGTCCTCGCGATGCTTGTTCTTCTTCTTCTTTTTTTTAATATTCTTTAGTTGTCGGTGGATCTTTTATTTATTTCTATGTGGTGTTGAGGAGGGAACCCAGGGCCTCACACATGCCAGGCAAGCGCTCTGCCACTGAGTCACAACTCCAGCCCAGCAATGGTTAATGACAGTGATGAATGAGACCCGAGCTTTGGCGTTGGGCATCCATCGAAGGTCCAGAAGGAGGTGGCCTTGGCCTTTCTCAACGCTGGGTGGGGAAATGTGAGATATGGCGATGACAGTGGCCGTTACTGGGGCAGTGTCGTAGCTGGTTGTTGATTCTTGTGTTTTATGGTGTTTTTGATGTTTGAGGACTTGGGTAGAGATCCGTAGGGTGACACGACAGGCTCTGGCAGGAAGTTGCTTAGGACGCAGCACTGTTTGTACCTGTCACACATGAACATCGTTTGCTCCTTCTTGTGGCAATACAGCCTGCAGTGTCCTGGGAGAGCACGCCCACATCTTGTCCTGCCCCCATGTGCTGTTTGGGTGAGAAAGACACAAAGAAGTCAAGATTAGGAGCTGCACGGGGATGGGGAGGGGTCTGGGCTGGGAGCATTTTGTTAGCTATTTATTCTGAGATGTCTGCTTAGGACAACAGGCAAATGGAATACTATGCAGTCATTAAAAATGTGACAACAATGTAAGGATGCAATGTGGTTTTCCAGACTTGGGAAAGTCATGAAGAGGAGATGGAGTCTCCCTTGATTGATGGTCTCTGGGAACTCCAAGGAGGCTCTTGCTCTTCACCTGTTTCAAGCCCTTGAAGCCAGCTAAGTCCTCTCAGGGTGGTACATTTGATACCACAGAAGAGGAGGTACAGGTGCACATAGGAGGGGAGCCAGGTTTTCACTGTGCAGAAGAGCTTGAATACTCAAAAGGGGGTGTGGAGGTTCTTCTTACCCTTCTGCTCCCCTTTTATAGGCTTTTGCCTTGGTATCAGGGGATCTAAAACAGTAAATGTCCGTCAACCCTGGGGATGAAGGAGGTCAAACCATTCTCTAAAAGCAATAGAGGGAAAATAATGGTTTGCATTCCCACACTGGGGACCCACCAGGATCACCTTCTGGTAAAGTCTAAGGGCTTTGGTTTCCGTCGGCTCTCGGCACCAGCCCCTTCCAAGGACTCTCTTCCTTCCCTGCCCCGGGGTTCACTCTGAGCACCTTGCTCACCATCCCTTGGACACACGTCCTCTAGGGGGTCTGCTTCCTGCCCTCCCCACCAGCCCTCTGTGGGCCTGGGGATAGGACTCTAAGACTCTAAGTCTCAACTTCTCAACTCAGCTCTCATCTCTAAGATGAAAAGGGGGAAGGAAGAAGCCTGAAAAAGAGTCTTAGGAGTTTATTAAAAACTCACCTAAGGTGAAAGAGAGAGATTGTGGACAAGGTTGAGGCTCTGTCATTGTAGAACAGGGAAGTTTTTGCAGGAGGTCCTATAGGGCGGTGGTGGGGTGAGGCATGGAGACCAGTGGTGACGTTGGGGGCTCCCGAGTTTACACTGGAACTCGGCGGGAGAGCCCTGCCTCCTCCTGACCTGGCCATGTGTCACCAGAGCAACCAGGTCTGCTAGTGGTCCTGACCCCGCTCTCCTTCCCCCCTCTACCCACTTTACCTGGGGCCATCTGGGCCAGGAATCCAAGGGCTGCCAGGACCAGGAGTGGGAGCTTCATGGCTGAAAGTGTAGCTGGGAGCAGGTGGTAGTGTAGCGAGCCAGGCCCTCTGTGCGATGTGCCCGGAGCTAAGGCCTTTATAAGAACCACCTGATACCAGGGAGCTGGGCGGAAGACCAGAGAGTTCTCTGTCACCTGGGGCAGTTCAATTAGATCAGAAGGTCAACTGGATGGGAGGCTGGGTTGACTTTTTGAGCACCTGTGTTCTAGGCTGTTCTGAGGGGCAGATGTGGAACAGAGTGCGTCAGTGCTCCTCCTGGACACTGGGCTTGGCAGATAGTGCTGGTGAGGCCGCGGGAAGTCGGCGCTCTCCTGTGCTGAGGCTCAGGTGTTAATCAGCTTTTCCTGGGTAGAGCAATTTGGCAACTCAGAAGTTGTTCCTTGGACTCTCGTTCAATGGAAATAATTGGAGAAGTACCTAAAGAGGTTGATTTCAACATTATTCACAAAAGCAGAAGACTAAAGGCAACCTAAGTGATGATAAAACACAGACCTCGTTCCACATAGAAAATGTAAGATAAGCCAGGAGTGGTGGCAGACGCCTGTAATCCCGGCGGCTTGGGAGGCTGAGGTAGGAGGATCATGAGTTCAAACCCAGCCTCAGCAATTTAGCGAGGCACTTAGCAACTCAGTAAAACGCTGTCTCTAAATAAAATGTAGAAAAGGGCTGGGGATGTGGCTCGGTGGTTAGGCACTCCTGGGTTCAATCCTCAGTACCAAAAAAAAAAAAAAAAGAAAATGTAAGATAAAATAGAACACCATGCAGTCATTAAAAATAACAGAAAAATGTGGGCTAGGAAATATACACCTAGTATGAGTTAGTCTTTGGAAAAGAAGTGTGCCTACAAACATGTATGCATGCATATGTCTGTGTAAATCGTCTTGAGTTTTCAGAAAGTCAAGTGTCACATGTGGAAGCTAGAGAGGAAAAAGGAAAAGGGAGGTGGGTCGGGGGTCTCGTGAAAACCTAAGGGACATCAGTAGAGGAGAAGACAGGGAGGAGGGGGAGGGAGGAGGGAGGAAGAGGGAGGAGGGAGGGGGCTACATTAGCCAAATTACATTGTTTGTTGTGAGCATGTGTGAGACGCAGCAGTGAATCCCACCATTACCCACAATGACAATGCACCAATAAAAATTTTGGAAAAGAATTCTGAGTTTTGGGCGAAAGCTTGTGTGTACTTTCATGATTAGGAAAAAAAAGAGAAGATATTTCTTTTATTATTAATTAATTTATTTGTTCTAATCAGTTATGCCGGACAGCAGAATGCTCTTCGATTCATTGCTCACAAAAAGAAGCTATTTCCATAGCAAACTTTTGGTTTGAGTTTTAATGTGAGTACTCTTGCTTTCTGAGTTTTGCATCTTCCTCTAGAGTTCAAGGTTTCTGAGATCGTTTGCCGTCTCCACGTTCCTCTCAAGAAATATTCTGCTTCTTTTCCTCCATGGTGTGTTTTGAGCTTGTTTTCCATCCTGGTTCTGGTTTCCCTGGATCCTGCATTCCGCACGGGGCCCGGGGTGGAAGGGGATGGTCCCCGGAGCCCTGGCACTGCCTGTCCCCAGTACAGCAGAAATTCTAGCATCTGCCTTTTTCTGATCTCAAAGACCCAGGACTCAGTGGGAATGTGTTCCAAAACTCGAGGAGGTGCTTAAATTTGTAAATATCTCTTGAATTTTCTTCAGTTAAATATTGGAAGTGATACCCCTGCCACACCTGCATCCCTTTCCAGCCCTTGGTAACCCTGTAGTGATGGAATCAAAGGCTTAGTGTTCCTGTGCATTTCTTCCCCACGTTGTCTTCTTGTCCCTCATTTGTTAAGCAATAACAGCACTTCATTTTTTCTTGTTTTCACTCAGCACAAATTTCATCATTAATTTGAGCCACAACAATTTTTCCAACCCCTTGAAAAAGGTCTTTCCATTTGGAAATTAAAATTTTAAACAAGTTGCACAATTCATAGTGTACAATATCCTTTACCAGCTTTCCCCAGATCTACCTATTGTTAACATTTTATCTTTTTTGCTTCATTTTTTACTCCCCTTTATATCTATATTTATCTTTCATTTTGTTTTTGTGGTGCTGGGGATTGAACCCAGGGCCTTGTGCATGTAAGACAAGTAATCTACTAACTGAGCTATATCTCCAGCCCTACATTTATCTTTTTTTAAATATATATATTTATTTTTTTTAGTTTTAGGTGGACACAATATCTTTATTTTTTATTTTTATGTGGTGTTGAGGATGGAATCCAGCGCCCCACGCATGCCAGGCTAGCACACTATCGCTTGAGCCACACCCCCAGCCTATATTTATCTTTATACATTTTTTCAGTACTGGGGATTAAACCCAGGGGTGCTCTACCACTGAGCTATATCCCCAGATCTTTTTATTTTTTTATTTTGAGAAAGGGCCTCATTAGGTTGCCCCTAGGCTGGCCTTGAACTTGGGATCCTCCTGCCTCAGCCTCCAAAGTAGCTGGGACTGCAGGTGTGCCTCACCACGCCTGGCTCTTTCTATATCTTTATAAACCTTTTATCTCTGGAGCAGTTGAGCTTAAATTATGTGGTCTTCTATCCCTAAATAATTCAGTGTGCATTTTCTTATAGTAGGGAGATTTTCATGTGCAGTGACACTACAGTTACCAATGTCACATGTAAAAATGTGGAGTGGAATTTTAGCCTTATGACTGGCACCTAGAGGGTTGGAGAGCCATGGTCATCCGTGCAGAGGAGTGTCAATAACACAGACCTGGCGGGTGTGCACACGTGTGTGTGTGTGTTTGGAGCAAGCTCTGGACCTACTGCCACAAACTCCAACTTTCTTTTTTTAAACTGAGACTTAGCAGATTTTCTTGAATAAATGTGTCTCCATTTGCCACATACTTTTAAGAAACTCCAGAACTTTAAGAGTTGTTTTGAATTAATTGGCTACTTAAAAATATCTAGAGGAGACGGACAAGATGGCAGAATAGAGGAGGTCACCTTCCTGGTTGCTCCGTGGCATAAAAATATCTAGAAGAGAGGATTTGGAATGTTCCCAGAACACAGCCCTCCCACTACACCAAGGATTTTTACCTGACGTGATAGACATGCCAGTTACCCTGATCCATCACTACATATTGTATTTATGTATCAACATGTCACACTGTGTCCCATAAATATGTACAATAACTATAGGTCAATTAAAAATAAAAAGAGCTGCAGGGTAGCTCAGTGATAGAGCACTTGCCTAGCAAGTACGAGACCCTGGGTTTGATCCCTAGCACTGCAAAAAAAGTATATGTGCGCGTGCGCGTGCGCGCGCACACACACACACACACACACACAAGAATTTTTAACAAAATTTTCAGCAGTTAGACAGTGAGGGAGGGGAGGGTCCACAGACCTTCTTGCACAGGCATTCTGGAAGTGCTGTCTCTTTGCAGGGCTTTATTTGCTATTTTAGAGTTCACTTCTCTTGCCTGTGGAGACCTGCAGAACTTACTGCTGTTTTTCAGGTCTTAATGCCTAACCCGGTGGTTCTCCAGCTCTAGGATATGTCAGAATTATCCAGAAGGCTTGTTAAGACACAGATCACTGGGCCTCCATTCCCAGAATTTCTGATCCAGTGGCTCCAGGGTGGGCATGGGAACTGATGTTTCTAAAAGTTCTCCAGGTAAGAACACGTAACATGAGATCTACCTTCTTAACACATTTTAAGTATACAGTACAGCCACAGGCTGTGTGTGGGAGCTATGCTCATTTGAGCACAGGAGCGGACTAGGCTGACTCTGACTGGGCTGTGGGACGTATGTGTCCTTTTCCCTGGCTCTGCCTATGATCCCACACAGCACCTGAGATGGGTGTGGCCTTCCCAGATGCCAGTCAATCTGCTGGCCACAGCCATCACCAAGCAACCCCCTTGGAGGGTTTCAGGTGAGCTCTCTCTCTTTTTTTGGCCTCTCTTGCCTCCTTTGTGGAAGCTGAGGTCGAAGAGCTGTCACTGAACCCCCAAAAGGTATTTTCTGTCTCTGTGGTTATTTAATACCAGCCCAACTCATCTGGAGTGACCCTGACTGATTCAGGACAATACTGTTGACTATGGGTTTGATGTGGATGCCAGATCTCTAGGACTTACTCTACTCGAGTAACTGAAACTTGAAGTCCATTGATACGTCTTCTCAGGTAAACTGTTCTGACCCTAATAATAATAAGGTCAGGTATGTGTGCACAACCCGCCCACACCGAGACTGGTAGCCCCGCCAGAGAACTCACATCTGGCCTTTTTAACCATTATCCACGTGGGAGTGACCAGATCATGACATCATTGATTTCCTTATCTGTTGAGATGGTGCTCATGTTGCATACATTCTATTGGATCTTATGAAAATTAAAAAGAAAAACACAATGGGCAAAGTTTTTTTTGTTTTTTTTTTCCCTCATATAACTCCATTTACTTTCCCCTTGTTGGATTTTCCCTTATTTGAATCCCAGATGTGGTCGGACTTCTCCTGTATATTTTATGGGTATCTCGGGGGGCTCTGTCTCTTAGAAAAAAATACACCCTGAAGGAGCCCTCGCATGTCACGGGTGGGGTTGTAGGTGGGTGCAGCCACCGTGGGAAACAGCATGGAGATTCCTAAAGAAAGTAAAACAGAACCGTCGTATGACCCAGAAATCTCTCCTCTGGGTAGGTACCCAGGGGAAATGAAATCGCCATGTTCACTCCACATTACATAACCAAGATATGCAAACAACCAACGTGTCCAGGATGAAGGAACATGAAGCTATGGATATAGCACCCACAGTGGAATACTATTCAGCTTTAAAAATGGAGGTCTTGCCTTTCACCAAAACGTGGATAGACCTAGTGGACGTTATGCTAAGTGAGACGAGCCAGACACGGAAAAGAAAATGCAGCAGAATCTTATTTATATGTAGAATCTTAAAAAAAAAAGTAAAGAAAAGCAAAAAAAGTTGAACACACAGAGATATAGGATAAAATATTGGGTACAGGGACCGGG